TATATATATATGGTTTGCATTAACATAACCATACAGTCTGCGTTAAAAGCATTAGAGTGCTTTATGCCATGGTGAGGATGGCTTCTTGGGTGAGCAGCACAATTCTTGAACCTTCAGTCAGCATTTTATGCAGTCAGCAGTCATCATCCTCAGACAGAAGGGTGATCAGTTTATCAGAATTACGTACAATGACTTTAACTATACCTTTATATTTCCTAAGAATGACCTCTAGAATTTCCTATAAAACTTGCTTTCAACGGTATGGCATGTTACAGAGCATCCCTTGTGACATGTTTGTCTAATTTCTCTCTGATATTTCATCTTATTTGAGTTTCCTTCTGCTTCATTGATTCACTAGCTTTTAACATAAAGCTTCTCACAAGTTTATATTGACCACAGACTGTCATATTAATATGTTCAGTTGATTTGTTTCAAATTATAACAAACATCCAGTAAGTATTCAAATACTTACCTCACATAGCATCTAAGTTGAATTCTTATACCAATTCCAATTATGCTTAGAATTCATATTTGCCTTATGATGAGTGAAAGGTATCCTTCGAGAATTTCTACTTCATGAAGTTTCCCCATGTGCTCATGAATATGATTAGAAACAACTAATTTCTATAATTTTTTCACTTACTCTTTATTTAAGGTTTCATTAGAGATTGCATTCTTGTCTCCTCAAGTCTCCTGCTTATCATCACATTTGTGATTTTGATCTCTCTGTGAAGCATTAGTCATAGAATCTGGAAAAATCCATGGAATTCTGAGCGTAAACACGGATAATTCTGGGAGTTCCTGATACCAATGTGCATATTGATTTCAAATTAGAAAATTCTATTCAGTAGAGTTACACTAATGATAGAAGGACACACAAGCTGTCTGCATACCATACCGTGAATTATATAAAAGTCAAAATCATATGTTAAATAAGGTTTAATTCCCAATGACCAGTCCAATGTTTGAACCAAAATAGACATTAGATAATGTAACTATATCTCCATGGAAGTGCTTAGTGTATGCTTTGGGAAGGTAAATTAGAACTATCCTATGAATATTCCATATGTCGTTTATAGTAGATCCCAAGATACCTTTAAAGACCTGTGATTACAAAACTCAGAGCTCTAATTTAAGAATTGAATCCAGCCAGGATTCTCAGTTCTTTATTAGCTTTCCAGATATCTAATCTTTCTAGACATCCATCCTTAGAGATTGGGCATCTAATTTATCCGCCGGTGTTTAGTATGTAAGTCAAACGGCAAAGATACATTCCACTATTCATAATTTTTAAAACATTGTTTATCTCAAAGAAGTTGAAATCAAGATGTAAATTAGGTGAATGCATGAGATAAAATTCCTAAAATTAAATGATATGCTAGATATGCTACAGATAGTCACACACTATATTAAAAGCTTCACCATTTCAGCTTTCAAAGACAAAAACATAATGAGGTGAGGCTGGGCTTCAGACAGTTTTAAAAGATATCTATTTTCAGAATCTTATTACCAGAGCATCATTTAGCTCTGACTAGAAGATTGAATATTGAAAGTTATGTTTCCTCTCTTTGTTTTTGAAAGAGTCTCAAACTTTTAACCCTCCTACCTTGTCCTCCAGAGTATAGGAAATGTAGGGATGGCCTACTACACCTGGCCACTATATAACTGTTGATAGAGGCAGTGTAAAGGGATAAAGACAAATGTTTATCTACCTAAATAAATAAAAAGGTGAAAGGGTAAATTTCTGATATAATTGCCAAATTTCTGAAAGAAAAATTAGTGTCCAGTATCTCCCATGGCTGTCCATTTTCTATATCTAATATTTATTATTGAAGTTCAAATGATTTTGAACTTCAGTGTGTTTGGACTTATTTCCATCATTGTGGCCATGACATAACTGTAGAGAAAGAACACAGGGAAGGATTCAGACTACAGTATTAAAAACATCCAAACACATGCTATTCTAGTCCTTGTATTCCTGATACAAATACTATTTCTGTTTAACCTCGTCTCAAGATAAAGAAGATCCTGTTAGTGAAAGTGAGTGTAATAAGATATTGGTATATATAGTGTCCTGAAATACTATTCTAAATGCCATTTGTATATATTATAAAGAGGAAAGTAAATGTAAGAGGGAAGATGCAAATTATATAGATTTCATATCAAAGTTGATTTCTTAGGTACACAGTTTTTATGACAGTTAAAATATCAATGTATATAGTATATCCTTAAAAAAGACATATAGCCAGCAGTCAACTTTTTATAAGATGATCAACTTAATTTCATGTTCAGCCAAAGCTGACTTATATTAGGATAATAGTATTTCAGGACACTATATAAGAAGGCTATATCACACACTTCTATTTTGAATGCATAGTAATCTCTGATTATTGACAAAATGTATTCATTTTTATATAAAAGTCATTAAATATTTAAAACTATATACACTAAACTTTGGATGATTCTGCACTTTCTGTCACGGGAGATATTTATTGAGCACATGCTATGTTCAAGACATTGTCACACAGTGAGGCAACAGAAAGCTCTGATGTCTTTAATTTTGTGGATACATATTACATAGTATATGATTTGTCTTTTTAAAATATTTTGATGGGGTATCATAATAATTACTCTAAACTTCAATTTAAAGAACTATATCCAGCCAGAATACCTTGTGATATTCTGGATATTTGTGTTAATTATATACAGTATAGATCCTAATCATCAATTTAATACCTCAGAGAAGTGTTTTTTTTATGAAAAAAGGCTATTAATTTTCCTTAAATATTCAATATTAAATATTCCTGGGTACATATTAATACATAAAAGTGATAGCAATTTTTAAACTATCATATTTACTTTGAGAATGTTTCTAAGTGTTTATGCATACCTTTATTTAAGTTAATATAGCTTATGTTTACAAATAAATTCTCACAAAAATACATACATTTTTGAAAATAAAAGAGCAAGACTAGGCTAAAGGTTAAATTGATGGATAAAGAGATCCCACTATGAGTCTCCCACCAGAAATTATGGTATAGCCTCTTTATCATGAGCCATAGCCCACAGACTTTAATTCATTGTGTAAGCCTTAGTGTTTTGGGGTTTGTCCAGTTTTTCTCTGGTTAACTTACAGGTTAAGTTTATATTTGGCTACTGACCTTTGGCAGAAAGTATGATCAGTTGGTGCTTCAGAGTTTCTCTGGTGTTAAAATAGCTCAACATTTTTTTTTTCTGTTACATAAAGAAACTACAGTGTGGTTACATTAAGATAATATGTTAATTATTTTACTAATATATGAATGATTTCTATACGAAAATAGTAATATTGAAATTCAATATTCGAAGGTTCATGTCTTACCCCAGGTATTTTCTCAACATAAAAATAAGAAAATAAAGACATGAATCTCAACCGTTTCAAAGAAAGCAGCCAGCATACATAAATTTACCCACAAACTCATGTCCACCTAGCTCAAAACAAGAATCACAAGAGAGAAACACACCAAAAAACACTTTCCCTATTTCTCAATGAACAGAATAAAATAGTCAGAATCATGTGAGTTGGTTGTGTACAGCTTCAAAAGAATGGGAGGGAGGTATTTGAAATGAATTTTTTGTGGGAGGGGGTATTTGAAATGAATTTTTAAATTCAAGTCCGCGTGGCACTCCTTTATAGCTCACCCACAGCAGAGTCTATGTATTTCTTACCACACCAGATGCTGAGAACCTGTTCTTCAGGAAGGACAGGATCATTTCAACTGGCACACTCAATTCAAAACGTTCTTCTACAGAAATAAATCTGAAGATGTCGTGTGCATCCTCATTAGGATCACTCTCTCCTTCTCTATTCCCCTATTTTTATTTTATGGATCAAAGCGTAGACGGCATGACATATCTATAGCACATAACTGGAAAATGGCAAAACCTGACCTCTTTCACTGAACAAAGTGTTGTCTGTGTTAGTATATGTATGTCTGTGTTTTGCATGGCTATTGAGGATCTTGCTAAAGATACAGAATCCACCACATGTTTGTTAAATGCTTGTCCATAGCTGCTGGGGTGTCCTTAGGTCCAAATGTTAGCTACGTATTTCACAGAAAGGAAAACATAACATCTGCGACCACGGAATGACTGAAGCAAGACGGACTAAGTGAAATACAAAGTCCAGAATAATAAGAGTAGAACAATTGTCAGACGCTGTGAGTTTGCTATGGATTTGAATTGTCTGTGTGGACATTTGTAAAGACAGAAGAATCCTTTCACTCTCTTAAGATACTAACACTGCACTACGGAAGTTTCTGCCCAAGCCTAGTAGTAGGTTCTCCGATGGGATATAGTCACAGAAATGAACATGAAATGAAAAATCATTGCTTATAACATCAGAGAAAATAAAGTCAGAGAGACATTCAGAAAAATATAAATCCAAGATACAGTCTGGCAAAGAGAGGGAGGGAGGAAGGGAGGGAGGGGGAGAGAGAGAGAGAGAGAGAGAGAGAGAGAGAGAGAGAGAGAGAGAGAGAGAGAGAGAGAGAGAGAGAGAGAGAGAGGAAACGAAGGGAAAAAAACAAATCTTTTACAATAATGTACATCATAAAGCTACCTAACAATAGGCTTTCTGGTCCTGCCCCTGGGAGAAGAGTGTCTTGACCCTTGACCTTTGATCACATAAAACTAAAGAAATTAAGAGCACGTTTGTCATTGCTGTTGGGTATTATGCACATTTACTTTTTATCTAAATTGCTATAAGAAAAAAATTCTATTTCAAAACAGCCCAAGTCTTGTTCTTAAGTCATGTGACTTGTTTCCTCCCCCCTGCCAGCCATGTGCTCCATATCATTTTACTCTGAAATAACTCTGCGATTTCAGCTGAACCTGCCTTCTCTCACCATGCACAGCACACCCACAAGGGAGCCTGAGAACAGACTCCCTTGAAAAGCAAGGTTCTCATAGTTGGCCTGTAACCATGGAAGCAGATGCTGTTTTCTTCTTACCCTGCTTACCTCTTTGCAGCCTCGAGCTGCTCCCTATTGTTAAAAGGTGGTACGCCTCGATTCTTCTTCATCATGACCGAACTTGCCTCTTCTTCAAAGGGCATGATGCTGCAGGTCATTGGTCTAGACTGTTTGCACGGTCCAGAGAGCAGCCTTGATGTAACCCTTGCTCCGTCTGAGCCACACCACCAGCCGTGCAGCTGCAGACTGGAGGGGGACATTGGAGATCCGTATTTGAAAAGAAGTCTGTCTGATTTTGCCATTGTGCCTTTTCACTCATCGATCGAATGAATATCGAACCTTCTGTCGTTGCATGTGTGAAATAGATAGCTTAGCCAGCACTTTTGTGCCCAACCTGTGCTGTGGGCCAAAAGGTTTTCATTTTAGTCTCAAGTTGGTTTTTTTTCTTTCTTTCTTCAGACTTGATGGATTTTTGTGTTGGCTTAATTTATTTGTATGCCTTTATCCAGCTGTTCTGGAGACTGCTTGGGATACTGTACCAGCAGGGATTTTGTTTTAGTGTGAAACGGAACTTTTTTTTTTCCTCCTGTCCTCTGTTTGTTTTCCTTTGTAACTGTCTTAAGGTCTTTTTGTAGTTTTGTAGGTAGAAGTGGGATAACTTTTACAACACCCTGTAAAGCCGAACATCTAAGTTACCCTTTTACGGGGACGACTTGATGGTGTCTGTTATTTAACAGGCTTAAATCCAGAAAGGTGAACTTGAGCCTCTCAAGGTGATTTCAGTGATTTATAAGAGTAAGTAAACCGGATAATCACATTGATTTTTAAGCTGAACGAAAGTGTTTGGTAAACTCTATTTGAAAGGAATTTGTTTGCTTTGTTCTCTCCTTTAAACATCAGCAAAAATATTATTTGTAAGTGTTGAAATATACTTAAAAGCACACAACTTCTTTTGTGCTTAGGAAAGTACAAATAACAAATAAAATCATTATGATTTAGTATATTTAGTAAATATATTGATAATATCTGTCTCCGGGCACGATTTAACTAAAAAGTAACTAAAAGGTCTTTGCATTTCATTTTTTTAATATAATTAAAATTTCCTTGCTGCTCACCAACAGCTGATATTAATGGCTGATGAGACTTGTGTCACCTGCTCATTCCCTAATGCCCAATTTCACCATGTCCTTGTGAAACAACTTCAGGATGCCTTGGGTGCATCTCCAGAGCATGGTGATTAGGAAGCATTGTCTGCATGTGTCATCGGGAATGGTTTGGTTTGATTCGAAGAAACCAGTAGTTCATACTTAAAGGCATACATATTTTCTCTAATTGCCCAAAGGCAAGGGGGAGGTCCATGGTAGAATAAAGAAGGTTATTCTGACAGATGAAATATAGTTCACAATGAGCACTCTTTTCATCTAGCCTTAAGTAGCACAGGATTACTTATTAACTGAATTTTGTGGCAGAACATGTAAGCTCATTTGAAAAAAAAGTCTACAAAGAAAAGCAGCAAGCCTTTTTCTCTCTGGCTCAGGAGTGTTTATTTTGTGTATGTCTGTCTTGGGGTTGTATTTTGTTTCTCCTAACATAGAAGATACACTGGCGAGAAGAGGGACCAGACAGAAAGGGTAGAAAGGAAGAAACTTGAAAGCAATCAAACTGCTTCTTCTCTCTAACAGTGAAGAAAGTCGAGTTAGATGGATTTTTATATTCTTTGGCATGCAATGCAATAATCATATTTTTCAACACATGTTTTTTTGGCTGCAAAAGTAGGTAACTTTTATTTTACAAACTTACTATACCTTAGATAATACTTTGTCTTCCTTTAAGATTGCTAGGGTCAAATGATTTGCTAGGGTTTTTTTGTTTGTCTTATTTTAGTTTGTTTTGTTTTCTTTCTTTAGATTCTGGTTAGCATTTTATGAGGGCTTAATACAGGTCCATGTTTGATCACATATTTTCTTTCCTTTAGTGTCTTTGTTCCTCTTGAAATGAAAATAATTTTATTTGACTACTGTAAATTTTATTTCTAAATTCAAAGATGCGGTCTATTTACACGAAGGTCAGTTTTTAAATTAACTGAGAAGCAAATGATGTACTTTATAAATATTCAGGCACAAAAAAAAATCTTGGATTATAAAACCCACTGCAACTAATTTTTAAGCAGTTAATCTGGGTTGATCTATTCCTGGAAATTATATGCTTTGTATTTTTCATCCCTTTTCTAAGTTAATTGAAGTAATTGCTTTGTGTTAGGAAAAGCTAGGAGGCTCTATCTGCCAGTCATCCACTGTTGGAAATCTTACAGCAGACTGCCCTCTTTCTCCCAAGTTCTTACTAAGCATCTCTTGTTTCACAGTTTCTCATAACATGCATGTGTATATGTGACTGTGTATAATTGTGAGTTTGTGCATACTTCTTAATTGAGGTCTTTTCAATTTACTAGATAAATTTCTTATTTTAAACACTGCAATGAATAATTCAAATGCAGTGAATTTACTTACATGTTGTCTGATTGAAGGCATAAAAGCCACAGATGTGTTGGCTAGATATTTTTTTTTCTGATAGCACAAAAGTGCTGTAATTTTGATACATAAAACATGCAGCTCACATTGACTACAAAGGTTTTGTTCCTTTATGCTGGCTTTTTAGCAAAAGTTTAGTATATCTTCATGTAAAAATCAATAAGAAATAAGTACATGTGATCTTAATATTTGATACTTTACAGAAATTTACTATGGCTTTCAATAATTTATTTGCCTTTCTCCTTGTGATTTGTCACTTACAATTAAAACATATGATTACTTTACTACTGCAGAAAAACTAAGCAGTCATATAATTACCATCCATGTGTTGACTAAAATAACCACCTTCTACTGGCATTCTTACACAGATAATGAATTAATATTATGTTGAAGGAATGTTTTTAATGCCTCATTTAAAGCATTCTTATTAGTATAAATAAATAAAAGAAAATAGGGTAAGCATATCCAAGGAAAGCCTATATATGGCTTTCCTCGTCTTATTCTCTATACCATCACATATATTCAGAGATTTCTATTCCTCCCAGTCCTTCCTTGGACATATAGGAACAGCCTCGGCACAAACCTTTGAATTTGGTAATATATTGTTTCTTCCATTACTTGCTGGTGAGTGCATTTTATATCATTTCTCAGCTATAGTTTTGTAATTTGCCATTATAAACTATGATCGAATGAGGCAATTCTTTAAAGAAAACCAAATAAGAATGAAAGAAAATTCTTTTAAAAAGATGAAGTAGAAGCAATTGTTTCACTGATGTGGTTCATAGCACACAGTTTTGGAAAAATGTTTTATTTTACTCCTGGCCTAGAGATAGGATCAAACAGAGCACATTCAATATCATATATAAAAGTAAAATCGACTCACCCTAGTGAATATTGTAAAATGTGAGGAAAAAAACAATATGAACCCTCAGATAATTTCATTTTGTTTTAGCATGGCAGCTTGTTAAAAAATGTCATGATACATACTGGAATTTATGTCTCCTTAGTGTTTTCTTTAGTTATCCTGATTTTATAATTAACATTAAGCATAATGCTAAAAATTAATAGCAGGAGCTTGCTACGTTTTTTCACTAGTGATATTTGCAGAATTATCATCTATTTTATCTAAGAATTCATCTGCAGTGTTTCAAGGCAGAACACTTCTCACATTTCAGTCTTCCTCTCTCTCTCTCACTCTCTCTCTCTGTCTATGGAAAAACATTTTGCCATAAACTTTTGCACCAATAGCTAGGGAAGACTCACCAGCAGTCACAGTTCAGGAAGCGCCTTGTGAAGGAACAGAGTGGGGGGGGGAACCCTGCAGACTTTGATTTTGTAAGACAAGTTGGATAGGAGTCAAAATTGCCACATGTGGTGTGAAAAAATGCCACCCTGGTGTGAACAAAAGGTTTAAAATGGAGTCAAGAAGCATGCAGGCTCCGTGTCTAAGCTTTGCCTGGGAATTGTCTGCCACAACCTGAGGGGTAATCCTGTGGGCTGGGAAGAGCTTGAAGCTGCAACTCGGAAACACCAGGAGTCAAATGTGTTAGTTGGGTTTTTGTTGTTGTTGTTGTTTTATCTTTTTGTCGTTTCCAACATTTATGTGTTTCATTTTGTTTTTATTTTGTTTTGTCTCATTTAGGCATCATTACACTAAAGTGTTTTACCCAAACATAAAACAAATCCAAGAGAGTCACAGAATGTGTGAGAAACAACTGCTCCTTATAGAGGAATATTTGGGTTTTTTTTTGTTTGTTTTTTGTTTTTTGTTTTTGAAAGTCTTTTTATTCTTTCTTCCATTCCTCCATTCATAACAAAAACATGTTTTCAAATTAAACTCTTTGTTTTGTTTTCTTGAGTTTTATTATAGAAGAAAAGGACACAGGCTTTCAAAGTCCTGAGTGCTAAAATTAAATGTACATATAATACATACACACACACACACACATATACACACACACACACACACATATGTATATATATATTCGTAGTATTTGTGTGTGTTAATCTTCTTTTTTTAAATTATTTGTGTGTTAATCTTCTAATTGATTATCAAGAAAAGATGAGGGAAACATACTGTGCTTGTTATTACAAACTAACATTTCATTATTGAGTAAAAGATACAATGATTCTAAGTTCAACAGAAATGCTCCTTCATAAAAGCCATGAACACAATACATTAGTAAATTGTAGTAATGTTGTGTGTTTCCTAGTATTTCATGTTGTGCTTCACGAACAAAATACCTTAGCTATAAAAAAAAGTCAGCAAATCCAAAGTTTAAAAATGCCATTGGCTTAAATCACTAAAATACCATTCAAATTTATAGATGTTAAGGCATATACTGCTGTTTCAAAATTCATGCTGTTATTGAAGTATATTCATAAAGACCCTACTTAAAAATGCCAGTTGCATGAGAAGTTATGCAAAGGTTTTAGAGAAAAGAAATATTTCTTAGGTGACTGTGATCAAATTGATACAACACTGATAACCGAGAAATCATTAAGGGCTATTTTAAAAATTTAAACTTCAAACCATCTTCACTACATGTACATGTTGTCTTTCCTAAGATTTGGGTCTAAATCCAGCAAATCACACTGGTTATGAATGTAGGT